CACTTACACCCCCCAAGCTCAACTAGGATGCTCTCATTGACGCCAAGCTCAATAGGAAGCTCTCATTTACACCCCCAAGTTTAACTAGGATGCTCCCATTGACCCCAAGCTCAACTAGATGCTCCCATTGACCCCAAGCTCAACTAGGATGATCTCACTTACACCCCCCAAGCTCAACTAGGATGCTCTCATTGACGCCAAGCTCAACAAAGATGCTCCCATTGACCTCCAAACTCAACTAGGATGCTCCCATTGACCCCAAGCTCAATAGGAAGCTCTCATTTACACCCCCAAGTTTAACTAGGATGCTCCCACTGACCCCAAGCTCAACTAGGAAGTTCTCACTTACACCCCCCAAGCTCAACTAGGATGCTCTCATTGATCCCAAGCTCAACAAAGATGCTCCCACTGACTTCCAAACTCAACTAGTCTGCTCCCATTGACCCACAAGCTTAACTAGGATCTCGTTGCTCCCCACCCCAAGCTCAACAAGGAAGCTTTCATTGACCTCCAAGCTCAACTAGGGTGCTCCCATTGAATGCCTAGCTCAATTTGGAAGCTCTCGTTGACTCCCAAGGTTTCACCCATCAGCTAGAAACTCCACTTACCACATTGGGACGCTTGACAATGTTGGCTAGTTTGGTGTGGCTGAATTCCAGGCTGATCATGTTGTACAGCTTCTCGCGCTCCGCCTCGGGGGTTTCGTAGTAGCGCACGAATTGAGCCATGCTCATTTCAATGCCTTTTTGGGTGTTCACATCCACTACATCCACAATTCGACGGCTCCCTGGAAGAGTTTGGGAAAGGAAGGTTGGTGAGAAAATATAGCAGATTTCATCCCTAGTAAAGACTGTCAAAATAAACGTGGGAAAATTCCAACTGCGGCGAGAATCAGAGCTCCTGAAACTGGCCGATATTTCTGGTTATCTAGTAAAGCGGTTTCCAACCTTGGCAGCTTTAAGACTTGTGGACTTCAACTCCCAGAGTTCCTCAGCCAACAAAGCTGTAGCGTTCTAGTAGTTGAAATCCACAGGTCTTAAAAGTTGCCAATATTGGAGACAGCTGATCTAGTACATCCCACAGGTTGCAAAGGATAAGTTTGATAATTGGTTACTATACTGGCTTTAACTTTAGAGTAACAGCAAGTTTTCATATTCATAACTTTTAATCAGTATTTTCCCCTAAACAAGAAGCAAACAAGAAGTAATAAGAGCCGAGGTGGTGCAGTGGTTAGGGTGCAGTACTGCAGGCCACTTCAGCTGACTGTTATCTGCAGTTCAGCGGTTCTAATCTCACCGGC